TTAATTTGAACTGAGAACTGCCCAGGAAATTAGTAAAGCACACTTCTTGGTGAGTTTGTAAGGAGGTTTCCAGAGACCAATGATTGGCCTGTGAGACAACAAACTGATGAGGGAGACCCACTCTGAATATGGACAGCACCATCCTGTGTGTGTATCTGTGTGTATGATGTGTGTGTGTTTTGAACCAAGGGGAAAAAGGAGCCAAGGAGTGAGAATGTGAGTGTGCTTTCTTCCACCATGATGTTTTTGCCTTGCCATAGGCCTAAAACCAATGGAGCCAGCGGTCCATGGACTGAAATCTCTGAAATCATGATCAAGATAAATCTCTCCGCAAGTTGATTTTCTCAGGTATTTTGTCAGTGACAATTATGGCTTGTATCTAGATATCCTCCCAAAGTCTCATGCAGTCATAGGTAGGGCTTTTCGGAGGTGACTGGATCTACAGTATGAGATGCTGGGATCAAGAATATGATGCTGGAATTAAAGGCTTGTCACTTATACCTCGCTTGCTTGCTGTCTTCTGCCTGCCCTGCTTCACCATGGACTACTTCTCTTCTGCAATGCCCCTCTGCCATGCCACCCTGCCCCAGAGCTAGCCAACTATGAACTGAAACCTCTACAAACCGTGAGCCAAATAAACCTTTGCTCCTCTTTGGGTGTTGGGTACTTTGTATCGCAACAAGAAAAGTACTAAGACAGTGGCAAAAAACTAACACAATAATTAAATTTTTAAATATCACTGTTGCCCTTTAGTACAAAAACAAGCAAACCAAAAATAAAAACAGAAAGTACTCTTGAAGTCCACAGATGCAAGAATATAGACTTTGAAGCCAAACAGATCCAAGTTCCTTCCTCAACTCAATGTTTACTATTTAAATGAACTTCACCAAATTACTTAACCTTTTTTAGGCCAAGAAAATAAATAGCAAGTAACAGAATGAAATGAGTTAAATACAGCAGTTTGTTAGTACACAGTCACTTTACTTAGTATTTTCATACATCCAAATACGACTAGGGTTTCCTAAAAGAGCAATATCAAGTTTAAGTCAGGAGACCAAAGGAAGGGTCACTTGGGATGGTTGTCTGGCTTTGAAATGTCCATGTCTGTAAGTAGCTCAGCACTATGTAAATCTGTTACAAATAAGCATTAAAGCAATCAAGCAGCATAGTGACACTAGTAGAGGTGGTTAATAAATGGTACCCAAAATATGATCACATAAATAGAAAAGAGTATTCCAAAATTCCAAAGAACATTTGCCAGAGAAGAAAACCAAAGCAATATACATTGTCACTCAAATAATCTTACTCAAAGTCTCTGAGGCACAACAGTATCTGGAGTGAGAGCCATGATTAAAAAACTTACAGTTATACATCTGATCCTCAGGGGCTGCAAAAAGGATTTGAAAAGGACCACTCAGGTTCCATGCCTGACCTATTACTGATTTAGGATTTATCTTCCATCTACTTCCCAAAAAGATCAGAAAGCAGATCATCTTAAGAGTAACACGCTCAACAGACTCATTTAAATAAGAATATAAGAATCAGAGGAGTGTAGTAATAGTGAGATAGTAGCTGAGATCTGCTGCAAATGAAAAGGAAACTTAGTTCTGGGCAACCAGAGTTAAGGCAAAAAGCAAACTTGCAACTATCATTAGGCAGAGAAGAATCATGATTAATCAGGAAAGGCACATTTACTCAGAACTAAACTTGAAATTTTACAATCAGAAACAGCCAGACATGGTGGCACATGCCTGTAATCTCAGTTACAAGGGAGGCTGAGGCAAGAAGACAAGGGGTTTGAAGCCAGTCTGAGCAACTCAGTGAAGACCCTGTCTCAAAGATTTTTTAAAGGACTGGGAGTGTAGCTTAGCACTCCCTGGTTCATTCCTCAGAAACCCCTCCTCCACCACAGCCACCACCACCACAATGAAACTGATCCTAGGAATTTATGCTTTTTATTCTCTGTTCCTCCCAAACTCCTAACACAACTTGCTTTACCACTTAACAGCTGCATACCCAGAGCCAATGGTTCACCTCTCTGAATTTCAATATCCTCATCCCTAAAAGAGAATGATGCTCTTACCTATTTGTGAAAGGGAAGTAAGGAAATAGCAACATTTGATAGCATTAACTGGGTATATATTAAGCATCAAAAGCTCTGTGAACATTATCACACTGCTCCACAAATACTCATTTTTCAGATGAGCTCTCTGAGATTCAGCAAGGCAAAGACAGTTGCCACTGTCACAAACTCAAAGCAGAAGAGATGAAACTGAATTTCATGCTTATGTGACACCAAGGCATAAATATTTGTACCTTTCTGCTTTCCCTGTGTATGTCAGGCATCTAAAAGTTCTTGGTACAGAATAGGTGTTCAACTTACTAGCTCCCTTTCTTGTTTTGGTACCAGGGATCGAACTCGGGACCTTGCGTTTGCGAGGCAGGCAACTAGCTCCCTTTCTTGCTCCTTCCTTCTCTCCAAAATTATATATGAATAGAAAATTAAGTTTACTGAAATAATTTTAGCAACTTACATTTTTGTGGTTTCTTTCATACTACTTAATCTATTCTCTACTGTATTAATCTCACCAAGCCTCTGCCTATTACTATGTACAATTCTACCTACTTTACAAATAAAGAACTAGAAGGCAGCAACTAGCCAGTAAGGTGATGATGCCCAGAATCATATGGAAGTCAGTGCCAAAATCTAATAAAAACCTTGGACCTCTTTACTTCTAAATCAACCTTTATTCTCTCACGTGACACAGTCTCCATAACATAGAGCAGATCATTCATTTTTTATCTGGAAAACTACCAAACATGTAACTCAATAAGGGGCCTCATGATCCTACCCACCTTGTCAAAGGAAAGAAAGTATACAAAAAATGAGGTGTGCTGCAGCAGACGGTTTTGGTCCACCAACTTTCTCTTAGATTACACTCATTAACCAAGATAAAATATTGTAAAAAAAAAAAAAGTCCACATCTTTGGAAATTCAAATTATAATAGCTGATCCTTCAAACTTGCACACAATGCACCAAAGGCAATTGTGAAATTCTGTGGGGCTGCAGAGGTACGTGCTGTATTACTGATCCTTGAATGAAAATGTGCCATACAACTGGGCTGCTCTAAGATGAATCCAAGTCAGCAATGAACATTTAGGTGCACAAATCCACAGCATCACAGAATACTGGAGTTTCAGAAGGGACCCAAGAACAACCCTTTCATTTGGTGTTTGAGGAAACTAAAACTCAGGGAAGCAAAGTGGCTTTTCCAAGGTTGTACAGACAGGAAAGCAAGAACTAGAAAAGAAACCTGCTGACAAACTTGTAAACCTTGGTTCTAATGTCCTTGAGAATGTTTAGCATTTTCCAGAATTACTCATCTACACAGAGAGTAACAGAACAACTCTGGATTCGAATCCTGACTGCTACTTACTGGCTATGTGATTTTGGGCAACCCTGAATTTCTCTGAACTTCAGTTTTTTAGTCTATCAACTGTGGGTCACAGTAACTTACACAAATAAGCAATAAGCTGGCAGTAACCCACACAAAGGGCCTCGCACCAGCCTGTGGGCTCCACAAAGGCACTGCATCAGGTCTGTAACTCCCCAGCAGAGCCTGGTAACACATATTCTCCAAAGACTCATTGAGCAAATCAACGAACTTACCAAGCAAATAGTTACTAGACTTGACCCCAGGTCTACATGGATTATAAACACTAGGTTATTTGTTTCCAATGTACATGATTTCAAAGCACGGTGTTAATTCAGCCTTATAGAGTACTAAAGACACAAGCAAACATAAAACAGGAAAAAGTTTAGCATCTGTCGGTATTGGGATTAATTCTTGTTGTGATAATGAGGCTTTGGAATCTACTAAACCTGGGTTTAGGTTTCAGCTTCAGTACAAGTTGTATGGGCTCAGAGATACTACTTTACCTCTCAGAACCTAAATTCCTGTAACTGGAGAGTTTCTTTTTTTGTTTTTCTTTTTTGGTACCGGGGATCAAACCCAGGACCTTGTGCTTACGAGGCAGGCAACAGAACCACTGAGCTAAATCCCCAGCTGTTAAATTCCTGTAACTGGAAAGAAAACTCTCCCTGTGTCTACTCTGTCCTCTACATTCCATATGTTAATAGCAGCCAGAGAAACCCTCACAAAGCCCACCACCAAATCAATCCTTTGTTTCAATCCAACTGCTTCCTATTAAAGTGAGAATAAAGCCCAAACTCCTTGGCATGGCCTATTACACTGAAATCATCAGCTTCTCCTGACCAGGTCAATCCTCTTTCTACCATTCTCTCTCTTAAATTCCAGACACACTGGCTTTCTCGAATATGCCAAGGTATTTCCTTTTTCGATTTAAAAATGAACATACATTTTTAGTCATTTACATTTTCAAGTTCTATTTATTTACATAACTAACCATGTTCTGTTCTCATGCCTAAAATTCTTCAACTAGAAAGAGGGCTATAAAAATAGTTCTTCAAGAAATAAGGATTAGAGATTACAAGTGTCAAGGTGTTTTTCTGATTTGGAGCCTTTGTGCTCTGTTCACTCTGCCTGGGATATCTTCCCCTAGGCTGCTGATGCTCTTCCCAGATTATTTAGGTCTCAGCAGAAATGCTACCTCCTTAAAGGGTCTTCCCAAGCTAACCTGCCCCTGCCACAATCACCCTCACCAAGTCACTCTCTATTGGATGCCACTGGGTTGTCTTTCTTTATAGCATTTCATTACCTCCTTTTTTTTGTTCTGACTTCTCAACTACATGAGGACAAGGTATTTCTCAAGCTTACTGCTACATACCCAGCATCTAGCACATAACAGACACTCAATAAATATTTCTAAATCCGTAAACTTGATTTCAAAAGATGTTTGTTAGAATAAAAGATCCAGGTAAGACATGCTATTGGCCTGATAGTACAGTAAGGCATTGGTTTCCTTCCAAAGACCATCACCCCATTTCATGAAATATGTGAATTTCAGCCAAACTTACTTAGGAATGGGTACCCGAATTAGCGTCCCTTCCACTTCTGGGTTCAGATTCATTCCACTTTCTCTTATAGCCTTGATAGCTGCAGCTGTACACTGAAAACCAGATCAAAAGGTAAACAGAATTAGTAAATAATTATTACCAGATGCAAGCCCTCTGTCGATAACTGGCAACCCATCTTAGCAGAACATGGAAACATTTAGTTCTGTTACCAGTAAGATCAGGAAGTTACATTGGTGTAGAGTGCTTTGATCAAGCTGAATAGCAAACTATGTCCACTCCTGGTACCAGTGTACTGCGGAAGGAAAAAAAGAAGAAAAAATAAAAAGAAAACAGCTCTGCTTCTTTGAAAAGATTTCAATGGTTTGAGGCAACACAGATCAAAACCACAATAAATCCTCAAGGGAGGAGGCCTGGTCTCTGCAAAGATTGGTGTAAAGACAGATGAAAGATTTCATACGTTAAAAATTCCAATTGACATTTTACATTCAGAATATACCAGTGCCAATTTGGAATGAGTAAATAAATTTAATTTAACTCATTCACATCTACACTCACACCAAACTCACTCGGTGTACAATATCTAAGCTGGTGTGGGCTCTAGAGAAGGTTGTACAGTACAGTAGTTGAAAGCATGGGCTTTGGAGGCAGAAGGAACTCACTTCAAACACCAGCTCTGATAATCACATGGCCCTGAGCAGCAAGCACAACTTCTCTGAGCCACCCTTTCATAATCTGAGAAGATGTGCCACCTAAACCTGATACGTAGTGAGGTAAGATGAGCAACATGTCTTGCTCTGTGCCTGGCACATAGTAACACCAGTCAGGGCAGTTATTAAATAAATTACACACATTTATTAAAAACACATAAAACCACCAAATAAGGATGAGTTGAGGTCATCATTTAGTTGATGCACTGCTGTCCTACCCAACATCCTTTAGGGCTTCACCGACAGATTTGCTCACTAATATGACAGCTGGCACACCAGTATGCTGATTTACCAAAGTGTCTTGCCTCATACTTGATCAACACTGCAACTACACCTGGTATGGAATCCTAAAGGATAAAAAGAAAGCAGCCCAGGAGAGAGTTAACTCCACTGGCACAACAATGTGGAATTCATGAAAACAAGGCCTTTGACATTTTCAAAAGAATTTTAGGCTTGAGCAGAGCCAATCAACATCACTTAGATTCACAGGCCAATTCCTGGCCTTTAGTTCTCCCTAGACTTTATAATTTAAACGAATGGGGTTTGATACACATCTATTTTACTTTTTCAGATATTTGTTACTGTTGTATGGGAAGAAGTGCCTAAATAAAAATTTCATTTTAAAATGACCTTAATTCTACACCTATATAAGCTGTTACTATACAGTCAAAAAGATAAACTAGAACTTCTACAAAGAGATGAGTAATTCCCAGGGGAGGCCATGCACAGAATCTGTGGTCAATGCCTAGAATAGTAAATTCCTAAAATAGTACCTCTGACCACAAATTCTCAGAGTTGGAAAGCATTGGCATAACCAAGCACAGCCCATTCACTATGTATACAGGGAACTGCAGGTTAAGGTCACATCCCTAAGCACAGACATGATCTTCCCTAAGAACCAAGAAAGATGTGAGGGCCCAACTCATCACACTTCCAGTTACTGGCAGAGTTAAGAGGAGATTTAGTCTAATGATACTATTTTATATTTTTGCAGATGCCCAAGCCCAATATATTCAGTAATAAGGGCATTAAAAAGTTGATTTTTTTCAACTAGCCAAAAATAATGTGGAATTAAAGTTAGCAGGAAAAAGAAATGAAATTAATTTTCCTCTAAAAGAGAAAAACCATACTTCTTAATAAAATAAGCATTGGTTTCTGGAGTTAACTATAAAGGGATAATCTCCGATTTGAAGGGGTATCCTGATGTCAAAACTCCAAATCCTCTTCTGTGGCTTCTCACTGAGTGGCTAATAATCCACTATCACCACCACCTCCTTTTCACAGTCTGGCCCAAGTAGTTCCATACAGCTTTTCCCTGTAGGATAAGAGGACTGTGCTCACCAACACTAGCAAGCTGGCCAAGAACTATGGCTCAATATTTATACCTTTCTTGTACTAGGCACAATGACAGGTACATGGTAAGTGCTCAGTAAAAGCCTGTTATATTAGAAAAATTCATCTTACTTTATTTCATGTATATAACCCCACAAAACCTTGACTTATACTTTTTAACTTTTCCATGTTTTTTCAGAGGCCAAAAAATATTAACCAACTGCAGTTTCATTTTGCAAAGAAATCTACTGAAAGAAGCAGTTCTTCTAATATATTCTAGGTATGTATATTTTGGTTTGACATGGTAGGCTGCAAAACTTCAGGGAATTCAGGAGTAATTTTCCCAACATGATGCCTAAGCTACTCATGGTTCAAACAAACAAAAAAGGCATATATCCCTATAGAATTTCCATCTCTCAGCTTAGTCTTTATCCCCTTACTACAGAAGGGTACTCACTATTATCCCAGGGAAAACTGATTGCTCTCAAGTGGCAACACTGACCAACTGGTTATGACTGCTTGGAGTACTATGTTCAAAAGAACACTAACCATCACTTCTCGGCCTTTTGGCTAAGATCAAGTGCAAAAGAACACTAACCAAATGATGACAAAACTTTGGTAGACTAGTCCTTGAAAACCTGGGTTCAATCTGTCTTAGTCTCTCATCACTGGGACACAGAACCTGACATGCACAATGTAAAAGAGGAGAGGTTTATTTTGGCTCACAGTTCTTATAGGTTTCAGTCCACAATAGGCTGGCTCCAAGCCAGGAAGGCACTGTAGATAGGCACAGCAAAGGAAAAGCTGCTCAGATCATGGCAGCCAGGAAGCAGAGAGAAAAGGGAGGACCCACAAAGGAGATGTATATTCCACAACAGGTCACAACCCCAGTGAACCACCTTTGAACTAGGCCCCACTTCCTAACATCACAGTAAGCTATAGTGACCCAGTGGTCCAATCCTCTTCCATAAGGCTCTTGAAGGACATCTAGATATAAACCATGATGTGTCAACTCTGTCAGTGCCATATCAATTATCGGCCTTTCATTTTCTTTCTTTCTTTTTTTGTTTTTGGTACCAGGGATCAAACTCAGGACCTTGCGCTTGCAAGGCAGGCACCAGAACCACTGAGCTAAATCCCTGGCCCTGCCTTTCATTTTCTTTATACCCCAGTGAATCCCTAGAATATAAGGTCTATGAAAACAGAGATCTAGTCTGTCTTACTTATCAGTCCATTCCTGGAACCTCAAATGAACCTAATCACTTGCTCAGAAATATGTGAATTATGAGTGAACAGCGCAAGAACAGGCTTTTGTGTCAAACAGCTATGTTTAAATTGGTTCTATCACAACAGTGAATCTAGGGATATTTTACTTCTGAGCCTCCATTTCCTTACCTATAAAATGGAATAATAATGCTATTTTTGCTGTTGATCCTGTGAAACGAGATAAGAAAGTGACTGGCAATACAACAAACACTCCATACATATTAGCTCTTTTCCTTCCACAAGAATAGTAATGGAGCCTGTGGAATTTTTTCTTTTATTTGTCATGTTTTGTTCAAATGATGCTGCAGTTTTTGTTTCCTTTTTTCCTTTTCCATCATTAACTCTAGCTTTAGGCAAGTTTATGGAAGGCAGCAACCACATATATCATTTATCAAGCAGGACACGTGTTAAACAAATGCAACAGAGTTTTCTGTCTTCAATGCATTCAAAAAGATTATGCATGTAAATCTGCATCATGTCACTATGGTATGACACAGAAATGCTCATATTTGGAAAGAAAACCAACTGCATGTGAAACAGAAAGGAATTATATAAACACAGTGGATTAGCTCAGCATTTTGAAGCTATGAAACTAGGTACTCCATAGACAGCTTCTAAGCTAGAGGAAAGAAATGTTTAGTTAAAGCTATTTGCTTAATATATACACCAGATGAGATAAAGGAATTCAAAAGACAATGTATCTCACACTTCCTCACTCTGTCCCTGTAAATGAACCTCTCTACTGAGGTGCTTGTTAAGCTTTTTGCAAAAGCTAGGGTATTTCAACTTGGAGAGATGGCAAAGATGCATGCCTTGGTCAAAAGATGAAAGGTATACTCCAACCTCCTAAGAAAAAACTAAGCTGTGAATACCTCCCCCTGCCTCCTAATATGCTCTGGTGGTCAATCAGATGTTTTTTTTTGAATACCATTTGCTATTTAATAACAGAAGTGGCTGGCTCTGAAAAGCAATCTGCCTGAGGTCTTCAAACTGTGTAATTGGGAAGCTATTCCCTAAATTGGCCCACAGTGCCTACTGAATTAGATGAACAAGGCAGAGAGAGAGGCCTCAGTAGTTTAGAAAGGGCCAGTAAAGGAAAGTGACAGTTTCCTTTTCATCCATTTCTGTGCTCCTCAGTAACTCTAGGAATGAGTGCCACCCTTCCATCAACCTAATGACAAGTATTCATCCCCCTCAAGGAAAATTTATTGAGTACTTCCTTGTGCCAGGAACTTTGGAACTGGACACAACAAACAAGTTAGATATGACTCCTGTATTTCAAAGTTGTAATCTAGTGAAAATGAGATGGAAATAAGCATGTAAATACATGTATGACTATTAACAGTGGTAAGGGAAATTAAAAATATTGTGTTGCATGTGAGACCTTAGTGTGGAGAATAATTTAGATTTGGCAAATCAGGAAAAGGTTCCCCGAGAAAGTGTCATTTATGTTGTGATCCAAAATAAGTGTACTAATTAGCCAAAAGTGTCCCAAGCAACAAGAACAGTATATGCAAAGACCCAGAGGGTACAAAGGACTTGGTGCATCTGAAGAACTGAAACACCAATGTGGGTAGAGCAATATGCAAGGATGACAGTGGGACACGACTGGAAAGAATGAAGACAGGGGGAGGCCAGACCATGAGAAGTCTTCTAGGCTACAATAAGGATTTTGCACTTTTAATTTCTTAAAGATTACTTAAATCCACTAATAGACTTAAACCTGGAAGTGATACAGTCCAATATACACAATACTTTTAAAAGCTCACCCTGGCTATAAATGGAGAATGGAGTACAACAGTGGTGAGTAACAGCATCCCCACAGGTGTGCCGGACATTATCTACAAGAACCCTCTAATTCGAAACAGTATGTCCAGAGTAAGAGCTCTCCCTTTCTACAATCCCTAACCTACTCTGTCAAATCCTGCATATTCAACTTTGGCCGACCTCTTTAGGGCAGACTACTGAAACAGACCATGAGAACAGGAAGATTTCTTCATTTTGTGTTAGCAGATGTGGAACTGGAGGCCCACTGAGTGAAGCCAAATGCCCAAGGTCAAACAGCCAGTTAGAAGTAGAGATGGGACCAGTTCCCAGTTCCTCTAGGACTTTCAACCCAGGCCGATTCCTAGTGGATCGATGAGAGGCCCAATTATTTTCCCCAACTAGACTTAAAATCATATACCTTCCAAGGCTGCGATGATTTAATGCAACCTATCTTCTAGTCTCCCATCATGCTCTGTGCAATATTCTGCAAAGGTCAGTTTAGCTTAAAAGGTATATGATTCCTAAAGGGTCTGCTCCAAATGAATACAGATGCAGAATACAAATGCAGAGGTCACAAACTGGGGTCCCTCATGTCATTTCTGGTTGATTAATTTGTTTTATTTGCCACAAAGTTTTTTAAAAAGAAAAATGAATTAGTCATCAACATTTAGTGAATAGCTTCTTATGGAAATAAAATCATAATATCTGATAACGATAATTACAAGGCCTACATTTTTGCTTAGCAATGATGATGATGAGCAGGAACTGAGCAGAAGTGCCCCCTTCAGATTGAGAACAGGCTCTCCAGTTTACCAGAGTCCCCCTCATTGGCCAAGCGTCAATCACTGTATCTCCATTATTGCTTTTCTTAGATGGAAGTTCATTTCAGCATTTAAATTACTTGCTTGGCCTCTATCACATCTGAGTTTAACAAGAAAGGAATTCAAAGAGGAAGAGAGCTTTCCTTATCCTTGAGTTCCCTTTATTAAGTCTTCTTTTTTGTTTCGTCACAAGCTGAAGGTATCACTTCCTCCTGACTTGACTCAACCTCCTCCATTCCAAAAGAGATGGGAGAGAGGGACCCTCTTAGAAAGGTCACCTTACCTCGGGGAAGCTGGCCATATTCACCAAAATCAACTGTGGTGACTTCATGGAGATTTGGCTAATCTGGTTTAAAGCAAGCTTCCCATCAGCAGTTACCACAGCAATATGATCGAGAGATCCTAAAAGAAAAGTTACATAGTTTTAGAATTCCAAATATCCTTAGGAGCTCCACAGCTAAGTCTCTATCTAATTCAGATTCTACAAACACTCAGGGATCCTTTATCAGTGACAAGATTGTTCAAGGAGCTTTAGTAGGAGCAGCAGCTTCATGTGATGGAAAGAGCCTGAAATGTGAACAGCTAGCAACTAGGGTGGGCAGCTATTCTGGCTTGCCTGGGACCAAGAGGTTTCCTGTGACACAGAGCTTTTAGAAAGAAAACTGGAGGGCCAGGGATTTAGCTCAGTGGTGCCGCTACCTGCCTCACAAAGTGCAAGGCCCTGAGTTCGATCCCAGTACAAAAAAAAAAACAAAGAAAGAAAACTGGAAAGAGTTGGGCCAGGGATTTAGCTCAGTGGTTCTGGTGCCTGCCCGCAAGGTCCCAAGTTCGATCCCTGGTACCAAAAAAAAAAACAAAACTGGAAAGAGTTGATCACCCATACAGCAACTAAACCATTTACTAGCTATAAAATCTCTGACAAATTACTTATCTTCTCTGGCCCTTAGTTCCCAACTCAGTTAAAAAAATACCTTCTAGAATTAAAGTAGGGGCTGCAGCTAAAGGACTGTAACTAAATATAAACAACCAAGTACATAATAAAGACCAAAATCTAAGCATAAACAAGTTTTCTATTATCCCTTTTAGTTCTTATAACTATCCTATAACATTGTATTACTACTTGTATATTATAGATGAGAATATGAGACTTAAGATAAATGAGCCAAGATGATAGAGCTAACAAAAGGAAAGTCAAAGGCCAAGATTGAAACTCAGGTGTGCTCAATTCAGTTTTCAATCAAGGTTCTTTACCTTATATAAGTGGAACTCAAATCTGCTCATGCCTCAGAATCACTAGGGAGCCTTTTAATTTAGATTCCTAGACACCAAAGATTTTGATTCTGTGGAGAACTGAGAGCCTGTGATTTTTGCAGGATCCTGTGATTTTTAAGTTCACCACATGATCTGACACATAGTCCAGTTTAGAATCATTCCTTGATACCACCCTTGATTTTGATGCCTAGATCCCCTTCAGAAACAAGCTCACTTAAAAAAGCAAACAAACAAAAACCCTATTAATACTCATTGTTAGAGCTAGGGATTTAGCTCAGTGGCACTGTGCCTGCCTTGCAAGCATAAAGTCCTGAGTTCAATTCCCGGTACCAAAAAAAAAATTCATTGTTACCATATCCTTATCTGAATTCTGGAAAACCCTGAGCAAAATTTTCAGAAACCCAAGAAGGTAAGCAACAAAGACACAGTTACAGATGGGACATTATTCAAACTCCCTGATTTCCTATGCAAATGAGAACTAGAAGAAAACCCTTACCATTCACGGTAGGAACCACTCCTGGATGGCTCATTCTGAGACACAAAGAGAAAGGAGGGAGGATAGAATGAATCTTTTAAACAAACTAGAGTTGTTCCAGCAATATGTTGTTAGAATAATACAGTATCATACTATGGGCTGAAGACCCGATTTGAAGTATTCAATCAGATTCAATGTCATAAGCAAGTTGACACCACACTGACTTCAAACTGGCAAAGTCCAGGAAGTCTAATGGCAAAAGTTGCCAGGATTCTGAAAACCAAAGATCTGAGTTCAAATACCAATTCTGTCACTTCCAGACTGTGAGATCCTGGGCAGATCCCTTCAACTTTCTATGCGTGTTTCCTGCTCTCTAAATGGGACATAAATATTGTATAGGATTTTTATGAGTGTAGGGATAGAGACCCATAGGCAGGGAGAGATGAGGAACCCTCACCCCCTGCTGAAGGAGTTCAGATAGCTAGCAGAACAGGCCTAACCACCCATGAAAAGCTGACAGTCTGTGGTTGCACCTCCTCTTCATGCTGTACCCTGCAAAGCTTGGTTTGCTAAGATCAAAAGGAAAAAAACCTTGGCCCTAAGATGTAAAAGGCCCCTGAAAAGACCCTTCCCTGTTGTCCCTAGTAACAAGTCAAGTTAATCATTAACCAATCAAGTAGGGGTGCCCTCAGCCCAGAGCCAAGATAGGCCCCCACTACTATAAAACCAGCATCTTGAGCCCCCCTTCAATGGTGGCTCCGTTTCGGGCATCCCTGCCTGTCTTTCTGAGAGAAGGCAACTGCACTCCTGCATGCTTGCTGAATAACAGTACAACTTTGCTTCTACGCTTTGGGTCTCTACTTGATTCTTCCGCAACCTTCTGCATCATCAGGAGTCATGTCTGGGACTGCGGGGACTCTCCACCTCTCTCCACTCACGACATGAGGATTAAATGAAAGACTATAGGAAAAGCATCTACAACTGTGTCCCAATAATGTTAACTACTATTGCTTCTTGACATTCTTCTTTGTCTTAATTAAAATACTCCACTTATAATTTCTTGGCAGGTGTGATGGCACACACCTATAATCTCAGCACTTGGGAGGCTGAGATAGAAGGATGGCTACAAGTTCAAGGCCAGCCTGGGCTACATAGTGACTCAAAACCAGCCTGAGAGACCTTGTCTCAAAATACGGACCCCCCCGCAAAATTTTTTTTTTTGCTCTAATACACTCTATTCTATCTTGCCTCAGGAACTTTCCTTAAAATTTTCTTTCTACTGAGGACATTCTTTTCTGCTCAGATAACTCCTCTTTAACACTCAGTAACAGTAGCATCTAATCTCAGAAATCTTATCTGATAGCCTCAGCTGGATTAAAGACCCCTTGCAAGTCCCCCAACACCCTATGTATGCTTACATAAATAGCAATAGCCTAAATTGACTGAGCATTTCCTATGAGCAACACATCATGCTAAATCCTCTCATTCTCACAAAAACCCTATGATACAGTTATTATTACTTCTACCATTTTACTCATGAGGAAAATTGAGGCGCAGAAAGTAACTTGCCCAAGGTCACTACAGCTCTTTGTGTGTGTGTGTGTGTGTGTGTGTGTGTGTGTGTGTGTGTGTGTGTGTGTGTATGGTACCAGGGATCAAACTCAGGACCTCAAGACCTTGCACTTGCGAAGCAGGTGTGCCTCCACTGAGCTAAATTCCCCACCCCACAACAGCTCTTAATAATGGTGCCTGGGCTGGGCATGGTGGTGCACACCTGTAATCCCAGCACTCAGAAGTCTGAGGTAAGAGGATTATCACAAGTTCAAGGCCACCCTGAACTGCACAGCGGAAAAAACAAAATAAAATGATAAAGAGCCTGGGCACTCTAGGTAAATGGATGCACCTTGAGATCATAACATTAAGTGAAATAAATCAGACATAAGAGCTCTTAAATGAGAACCTCAGAATATAAATAAAGAGAAAAATAAAGGATAGATAACAGGAAGCAAGAAGATCTTTTTCAAATGGGAAGAGGAACAAAAAACGGAGGGAGGGGAGGGGATGACGAAGTAAAGGGGATGAAAACACAGAACTGAAAGAAAAAAATGGAAACAGAGCTTTTGCAAATGGGAAAGGGACCAAGAGATAGAAGGAGCAGGGAAGGTTAGGGGATGAATAAAGAATGAAGATGTGTTATGGACAGGTACCGACTCCCTATGATAAATGTAATCATTATGTAGTAAAAACATGTACTAATAAAAAAAGAGCCCACCCTCTAAAAGACCATGGAATAATAGTTCCAAAGAAATTAATAACGGAGCCTGAATTCAAACCCAGATTTGACCAGTTCCAAAGCCACAATTTTCACCACTCCATTTTGCCATATGCCTTTATACACGTTGCTTTACTTGTTTAACTCTTCATACTAGACTCCTGAGATATGAAAACAATGTCCTCTCTTTCTGTACCCACAGTACCTATTAAAGTAATCAGCTCAGAATAAGTATGGATGGAGGGATGGATGGACAGATGGAAAGAAGACAAGAATGAACACACAATATAAACCTGTATCTTAGCTATTAAAAGGTATCAACTAGGGCTGGGGATGGAGCTCAGTGATAAAGCACTTGCCTAGCATGTGTGAGGCCTGGGTTTAATCCACAGTACATGGTGGCAAGATGGAGGAGATGAAGACAGGGAGAAGTTTAAGAGGAAAAGTGCCTGCTGGTTCAGATAATAACGAAAGAAGATATGGAAGAATCTGGCAAAAAAGGACTTGATATGTTTTGCCTATTTCACCCAGTCCTTTCAGAGCTCCAAATTCTACACAGACCGTTACACAAACATAACCCTACAGAAAAAGCAAAGAGGAAATACCAATGGGAGGCCTTTTGAAAATGGATCTTAATTTAGTCTTCCTGATTTGCCGTAAGATCCTTTGCCACAGAAGTCCCAATATGGGCATTTAGGTATGCAATTGTGGTGGTTCCCATTCCCTAAATCTGTACTGACATAATGCATCAAATCCTTTTCCCTCAATCTGTCCCTAGCGAGAATCTCCCTCAGCCTTGTTCTTGCCCCTCATTTTCTCAGAGGTTAACATTTAACAAATTACACTCCCAACCTCTTTCCAGGCCCATCATCTTTTTAAGTTCAACAAGAGTGGAGCTTGCTGGCTAATTTTAAGTATCACATTTCTCCCGGAGCTCCTCTCAAACTGCTCTCTCGTTTCGACTGCAGAATGTTAACAGGCCAGAAAGCACAGGGGAGAGAGAACACTTTATCAGTTTCATACCTAAAATAATAAGCAAGTTTAAAATAAACAGTTGGGAGAGATTGAATGGCACGCTCTACTGTCAGCAAAGGCAGAAGTGCCCCAGCCCAGAGGTTAACAAACGATGAGAATGGTCTTCTAGTTTCACACTGGATCTCATCTCTGAACTCAGTATGTTTCTGATAGTGTTTATAAATGGAGTTATGAATCTTTCATTGGCTTTCTTAAAAACTAGTACATGAAATATTTTCTAGTTTCCTTAAGAATTTTCCCAATCAAGATGTGAGTGGGAGCAGCCTCAACTCCCACAGATACTTCAGAGGGGGTCCCTGGCTGAACCATAGGATGATGACAATTTGCAAAAGGCCAATTTAACAGCAATTGGATTTTTCCTGCCTGCTTGCACCATTAGCTGACAACTCACTTCTCCATCACATCTGCAAACAGTTCTCCTAGACAGTTCTGACATTTCCCACTTAGAAAAGCCACTTTCAGGAAGCTATTAACCCAAGCTGAATCGTCCTGGTCAAGCTCAGGAGTATAGGAAGGCCTCAGGTGGGCAGGTTTGGAGCTATTTGGTTCCCGGTAAGGGATAAGAACTGCCAAATAGGACACACTGGAAATATCAGACCAAAGATGTCAGAACGGTGAGGCTAAATACCTAGATATGTTTATAGTATAGTCATAATAAAACTATTTTTTGAGAGTACAATTTCATAAGAGCAATGGCAACTATTTTTGTTCACTACTGGGCACCAGTAGACAAATATATGCTGATTGGATAAATAAATGGTAGTGTTAACTACATGTCAGGCACTGCACTAGAATCATTATACATGTCACCTTATTTATTTAAAAACCCACCCTAAAGGTACAAGGTAGCAATGAAACAAGGAAACTGAGGACCCAAAATAACTGCCCATGGTCACCAGTCGAGTCAGTGCCAAAGTGAGGACTAAAACTCAGCTCTGTCAAAGCCACGCTCTTTCTACCAGACCCTTCCCAAAACACTGGTAACTAACCTGGTGAGGTCCTTATATTGAGAGTCTTATTGAAATTATCCTTGAGTGCTTCTATCACGGACTTCATTTCTTCATCCACCTCTTCCAAGCTGATTATATCTTCAACCAAAGCTGTGTTAATATTCACTCTGGTTTGGGACTGTCCTTTCCCTTTGGCTAGAAAGTAAACATTCGGTGAATAGAAGAACAGCAGCATACACACAGACAGTAAGCAACTGGTGAAGTGCCTACTGTGTGCAAGGCAAAATGTCAAGGGCTGGACAGCTATACAACATTATCTCTGACCTAAAAAAAGAGCCTATATTTATTGTCAACTAGGTTCCCGGACTTAAATAGAAATTTATATAGTCTTAAGTACTTGAAAGAAAAGAACAAAGCATTTACTCATAACTAAGATATGGAAAACAACTGAAGTGTCTGTCAAAGGAAAATGCATAAAGAATCTCTCTCTCTCTCTCTTGCTCTACATATGTATATATATATTTGCATTTTTTTCTTTTAGTATTACTCAGCCTGGATAAAAAGAGATTCTACCATTTGACCCAACATGGATAAGCCAGACACGGGAAAATGCTACATGACCTTACTTATATGTAGACTCTTTAAAAAAAAAAAAAAAGTGCAATACACAGAAATAGAGAATAAAAAAGGTGGGGGAGAAGAAAAAGGAGTGACAGAGATCAAAGAATACAAAGATTGTATATAGATATACATCAGATATACAAGATGAGCAAGTTTCAACATCTAATGTATAACATAAAGGCCATAGTTAGTAATATTATATTGTTATTGGAGATTTTTGGTAAAACAGAGTTTGGGCATTCTTGCCACAAAAAATAATAAAGAGTATGTGAAATGATGGATACGTTAATTTGCTTGACTATTAAGTAAATGGGTTTTTTGTTTTGTTTTGGGGGGGATTTTTTTGAGACAGTCTCAAAAACCAGTTCAGGCTAGTCTTGATCTTGCTATGCAGTCCAGGCTGGCCTCGAACTCATGGTGTTGCTCCTGCCTCAGCCTCCTGAATACTGGGATTACAGGCACACATCACCATGCCTGTTTTCTTTTGTTTTTTAATAGGATTTTGCTACATAGCCCAGGCTGGCCTCAAACTCTAATTCTCCTGCCTCAGCCTTCAGAGTGCTGCGATCATAAGCATCTGCCACCACACTCTGGTCTTACTAATCTTGAGACTATTATGAATAACTTCAAAGCAACAACACAGAAAACACAGAAAAAATAAATTTCCTGAAAACATACAAGTTACTTAAACTAAGTCAAGAAGAGAAAATCTAAGCATCACTAATCACAATAATTAAAGAAATTGAATCTATGAATCTATACATATTACATACACATATGCACATACAAATTTCAGATCCAGATGATTTTACAGGTAAGTTCTGTTAAAGAGGTAAGGAACTAATAATGATCCTGACTTTATACAGACCATTCCATTATGAAAAAGAGATGCACGACAATTCACATCATGAAACTTGTCTTAGTTACTTTTCTTGTTGCTAAGACAAAATATGTGACAGCCAAAGTTAAAGGAGGAAAGGTTTATTGTAGCTCACAGTTTGTAGAGGTTTCATTCAGTTCATAGTTGGCTGGCTCCAAAACAGGGTAGTGTGGCAGAGGCATCATAGAGGAGAAACACTTTACGGCAAAGCAGGGCAGACAGTAAGCAGCAAGCAGCAGCACTCTTTCTGTCCCTTATATTCCACACAGGCTACCCACCCTCAGGGAAGGTAGCACTCACACCCAGGTTGGGGCAGCCTTAATCCCAGCATCAAACCCTAGATCCAGCCACTTCCAAAAAGCCCCACCTATGACTGCATGAGGCTTTGGGGGAACATCAAGATACAAGCTGTAACAAAGCTAATAAAGTCTTGATATCAAAACCAGCAAGGATCACAGAAAGTAATGCTTATCAATATTAGAACATTACATTAAGATTAATCTGACAAATATAGACTCAAAAATCTTTACTCATATAGGTTCAATAAATCAGATATATAGATTATGTATCAATTAATGTATATACAAATTATATATCAAAAACAAGTAGGGTTCATAGAAAGAATACAAAAGCAGTTTAATATCAGAAAAGCTATTGATGCTCAGTTGCCACATTAATATATTAAAAGAGAGGAAGGGCTAGGGATATAGCTCAGTAGTAAAGTGCTTGCCTAGCATGGGTAAGGCCCTGAGTTTGATCGTCAGCAATACACACACATGCACACACATACACACACACACACACACACAAACATGAGTGTGGTGGCACCTGCCTATATCCCAGCTACTTCAGAGGCTGAGGAAGTAGGATCACAAGTTTAAGCCTAGCATGGGCAATATAATAAGACCCTGTCTCAAAATAAGAAAACAATAAAAAGGACAGGAGATGCAGCTCAGCACTCTCTGGGTTAAATCCCAAATACAAATAAGGAGGGTGGTGGATCCTATCAATAATTACCTCAATAAATATGTTAAAAACACATCATCTAAAACAAAACTTTTTGCAAAAGAGGGACAGAAAATACTTGCTTAAAAAAAAACTACCAAAAACACAAAGCAAACATAATTCAAGATGTCAACATGTAAGAACTGTTCCCTATAAAATCAGAAATAAAACAAGGATTCCCATTATCACCAATCCTATTTTTTTCAAATTATACTAGAGTTCCTAGGCAACATTGGAGGGAAGAGGATGAAAAGGTAAAAAAGGGAACATATGGGCATATACATGCACCAAAACACATGTACAAGAATGCTTGTAACAGCAGTTATTTGTTTTACCTCAAAATTGGAAGCAAGCTCAATGTCCATTAACTGTAAAATGAATAAAATATACTGCCATACATGCATTCAGTAGACTACTATAAAGCATAAAAACCCACAAACAATTGTTACATGCACAAAATGGACAAGTCTCACAAACAGTTACTGAAAGAAGGCAGACAGAAAAGAATCCATAGAGTTCAAAAAAGACAAAACTAGGGCTGGGGATTTAGCTCAGTGGTTCTACCATCTGCCTCACAAGCACAAGGTCCCGAGTTCAATAACCCATACCAAAAATAAAAAAATAAAACAAAAATAAATTTTAAAAGACAAATCTAATCTATGGTGTTAAAGTCAATATAGTGGATTATCTTTTGGAGGGTGGCAGTGTAAGGAGCATGAGGCAAGTTTCCAGAGAACAAGTGACATTCTATTTCTTGATCTGCATGATGGTTACATGGTTGTACTCACTTAATGAAAATTCAGTCATACACTTACAATTTAGGTATGTACTTGTCTGTACCTATAACTCAAAAAATTTTAGTGTATTACATGTAACAGTAACAAAAATGATACCCTAGAAATAAACCTGATTGAAGAACTGCAAATCTTTCTGGAGAAAACCTGACAATATGAGAATAAATTTCACATAGAAGAGCAAAAATCCAAGAAGAAAAACTCTATGTGTGATTGGGGAGAGCGGGTTGTGCCAGTTGATTGAAGACTTTGTGACAATGATTCAGGCAGCAAGGAATTCAGTGCAAGGAGAGATGAGTAGTTAGATGAAAACAAGAGCTCAGAAACAAAACACAGAAAGAACCTGACATACAGCAGAAAGGTCATTACAAAGTTGGCATAAAGAATGAGCCACATGGGGCCGGGGATAAGCAGGTTTGGGCCACAGGTTCAATGCACCTGGACAACAAATGATGGTGACATAACTTATGAACTCTATGGGAAAAAAACCCTAGAATTAGATTTCTTAATTCACACCATATTCAGAAATAAATGCTCTTGGGACAAAAAGGATTTCTTTTTGTTTGTTTGTTTGGGGGTTTTTTTGGTTTGTTTTTTGTTGTTATTGTTGTTTTTGGTACCAGGGATCAAACTCAGGACCTTCTGCTTTCGAGGCAGGCCGTGGAACCACTGAGCTAAATCCCCAGCCCTGTTTGTTTGTTTTTGAGACACTATGCAGGTCAGGGTGACCTTGAACTATGTAGCCCCGGTTGGTCTTCAACTTGTGGGATCCTCCTGTCTCAGCCTCGAGTGCCAGGATTACTGGTGTGCACAACCACGCCTGGCTTGAGACAAGAAGAATTTTTTTTTTTACTGTACTAAAATACTGAGTTTATTTCACAAGTATATTTTTGTCTCCTCACCATCTCCATGTCTGACCACCAATACTACTATGTCCTAAGATAACATTCCATACATACTTAAAACCAAGCAAAAGGTGGAGTCCCATCTTTAAAAACTAAACAGGAATTTTGGACAACACTTATCAAACACGGTAGGGAAAGTTCTCACTTTGCATTTTAAAAAGGATAGCCAGATATCAACTCTTACAGAAATGAAATAGGACGGAAAATTTTAACAAGCTGTTTTAAATTGTTTTCTTAAAGAGGCTTCTTCCACTGCCAGAGATCTTGAAGAGCCTCCTGGTCAGTCATCCGGAAGCAATTCTTCACATAATTGATGAACCTGGTTTCCACTTTGGGAAAAGAATCACGTTTTTCTACACTTGCTTGCATTTTTGCTTTAATGTCTTCTACAGAAGTAGGTCCTCTGGGTGTTTGAGGAGTCTTTTCTTGTTTTTTGAAGGATTCTTGGCCTTTTGATCTTAGTGTTGATGGATTTGAGTCTTTTCCACTCTGGTTTGATTTCTATGCATTTTTGGCTGGAGTATCTCGTATCGATTTTTTCACTAGAGTTTTCTCTTCAGTTTCCTCATTATCAAAAGCACTGTCATCATCACCTTCACTGTCATCATCGGCGCCATCATCATCTTCATCAGCAGCTAGTTTCACTTTTTTCTGTGGCACCTTCCTACCACTTCTAGGGGCAGATTGCTTTCCAGATATACTTAAGAGTTTTACATCTTCTTCCTCCTCCTCATCTGACTCTGCATCTTCCTCTACAGCTACTAAGCGCTGTCCACCAATATGCACAGGCCCTGAACCACACTTCAACCTTAAGACAACAGGTGGTGTAATTTCAAAGCCCCCAGGGGAAACTGTTGGCTGTACAGACATTTTCAAAGTTGCCAGTGTCACTTTAATTGGACTGCCTTTGTAATTCATTGCCTCAGCTAAGACAATGTGCAATTCATCCTTTGCACCAGCCCCTAAATGGACCATTCTAAATGATAACTGGTGCTCGTGTTCATTATTATCCACCTTAAAGTATAATCTTTGTCTGCCTTTATTTCACAACTGAAAAGATAGTTCTGGGGCCTCAGGGGCCTCATGTCCATATCTACTGACTCTTCCGTGGAATGGTGGCATGCACTCATGTGGCAGAGAATGCAGATGGAATTGAACAGCTAATGCCCCAGAAAACAGGTGCGCAGAATGGAACCACACGAGGGACAAGAAGAATTTCTTGCAGAAGACAAAAAGCACAAATGATAAAGGAAAAGAATGATTACATTAAAACTTATTTTTGGCCGGGGATTTAGCTCAGTGGTTCCAGCGCCTGCCTCGAAAGCGCAAGGTCCCAAGTTCGATCCCCGGTACCAAAAAAAAAACCCTTATTTTTAACATAAACACCATAGCAAAGTAAAAAGCAAACAAGATACATGTAACATAATTAATAAAGGATGAGTATCCCTAATATAAAGACTCCAATAAATCTTTTCAAAAGTCAAACAACATAGAAGGCTGAGGCAGGAAGATTGCTACGTGTTCAAGGCAAGCCTGGAACACATAGTAAGTTCAAGGTCAGCTTAGACCACATAGCAAGACGCTGTTTCAAAAAAACAAAACAACAACAAAAGTTAAAGAACCAACTTTTTAAGGAGGCAATCAAAAGATGACAATACTGCGCAGCCCATAGAATACGAAAAAATGTTGCTTACAGGCTAGTGTCTAGTGTCCAGAAGACTGCAATGCTATGTGATGCCAACATGTCCAGGTTTCTTGTTCTTCCACTAACTAAACACAACTATGTGCAAATTTTTTTTACAAATGTACCTAAGTTTCCTCATGTGTAAAATGCAAAATCTGGATTCACTAGATAATTACAAAGATTTTTCTTCACTGGAAATTATAATTTCTTCAACAGATAAAAATATAAATCAAATTAGTAAATGTTGGGAACTTTAAAAAATGTAATACCATATACATATTAAAATATTATTATTATCACTCTTAACAGAATATAAGTCTTCTAAGCATTAATGCTCTTTCAGCAACTTGTAAATTTTCCTAATAACAAAAAGGAGCATGGAACTAGAAAAGGAAAGTCAGTAGGAAAATGTTCAGCAGCATAATTCTAGCACTATCCTTGAGAATGGATTACCTGGAAATAACTGGGGTGCTTGATAATTTTTGTCACTCATTTACTCATTCAACAAAACTGTTAAATGCATACTATGTGTCAGGCCCTGTTAGGTGTAAAATAACAAAGAAACAGATGCTCTCTTCACTGGGTCCAATGTGGAAGGCAGGTAACAAATAATAATTAATCTTACAATTGATTAATTAATTACTGCTGTTCTAAGTACATCAAAGGTAAAACAACAGTGTGTATGAGTGCATGTAACAGGGGACCTGACCTAGTTTAAGAGGTCAGGGAAGGCTTCCCTGAGGAAGTGGCATTTAAACTGAGACCTGCAGTACATCAAAATCTCATTCTTGGATGACACAAGCCATTAAGATCATCCATCTAAATCCATGGCTCTAATACCCTCTTTACCCAAAAACCTTCTGGTTTTAATTATACATTCAATAGGGATCTTCCTATAAGGAGAGAATATGTTGATCCCTGCCACAAGAGTTCTGGTTTGCTTGGTACTTATAATTCTAAATCTAAAAGAAATAAACTAGCCATTTTCTAAGCCACCAAGAAAATGAGTTATAAGAAAATAGGCCTTGGGTTCTAATGTAGTCTGTCACTGTGACCTTTTAAAAGCTAATCAATTCAACTGAGACAGGCATCATTTTGTCATGTTGACAAGGGAGAAATTCAGTACCTCTCTCTCTCTCTCTCTCTCTCTCTCTCTCTCTCTCTTTCTCTCTCTTTTTGGTTTTTTGAGACAAGGCCTCAAACTCACTGTGATCCTCCTGCTTCAATTTCCCAAGTGCTGGGATTACAGGCATGCACCACCACACCTGGCAGAAATTCAATATATGTCTGAGATCAATAACAATTGTGATAAATCAAGGGCCAAATATAAGGGGTGAAGAAGGAAAGGAGGTCATTAAGTTTCTACCTTTGGCTTTCTTGGATGCAAAATGGCAAACTGGCACAGCCTGATAGACCATGTGTTGGGTACAGTCAGGCAGTCTTCCACTCACTGTCTTCAGTGCAACTTCTGAAACAGGTCTGATCAAGACTCCAAGGTAACTGCAAGAGGCGGGTTGGATCAAGCGGAAGCATTTTAATCCCAAGGCCATGACTGAACACAATCCTTGTGAATATCCTCTGAAAAGAATAAGACAAAAAGGAGATCTAAGTGAAAGAGATACCACTGCAACTTCAGAAAATATCTGTATCAGTTATCAAGCAATTCCTATGAACAGAGCTAAGTACTAGGCAATTTAAACACATTACCTCTAATTCTCCTTCCAACAGTCATAAAAGGAAATATTAGCCTTATTTTACAGGATTAAGAAACTGAGGCTCACATACAGTCTGTATGACTCTGAGCCCCAAGTTCTTTCCACTACACCAAAATGCCTGTTAATCAAATGTACATCAACTAAATCTTTAATGATGCTAATTAAACCCCCACCTAAGGAAAAGTACAATATCTTGATAAAGGTTTAAAAAGGAGAGCAGAGCACTACAAGAGGATTTAAACAAAAAAACTATTTCAACAGGCAGAAAATGACTGGAAAATATACACGACAGCATTTAATTAAAATTTTCTTTGGTTCCTTATGCACTGATTACCAATTAGAATGCACTTTAATGTAAGTCTGAAGCATGATTGAGGTTTGAGGTCTTCCATGGTATAGAGCTAAAGCTCTGGAAAATGCCACCTTCCACTGGATTAATACAAGTTACATGGCATACTTCTGAGGTCTTTTGACAATGGAAAGATGCTATAGCCTACAACTACCTCAGATAGAACACAGTCCTAGCTGACAAATGTAACACTAATAGCTTCTGACAGGAATCTGGCTATCATTCCACTGAAAATTAAGAACAATTATCTTCAAATACCTGGAAGCTGCTATCTTCAAAAATCAGTCCCACACATCATTTAAAAAAAAATCCCTAAAATTTTGATGCAGTATGATGGAGTAAATAAAACCATAGACTCTGCAGCCAGGGAGACCCAGAATCCAATCCCAACTCTACCACTGACTAAATGCTCTTGAGTATCTCTGTACCTTGACATTCTCTACTGTAAAATGAGGATAATTATATTTATTTCTTAGAGTTGGGGAAAATGTCATTAGGCAGGTAACACTTGACACAGTGCCTATAGACAGGAGGAGGCTAAAATCTACTGATAGCTATTATCTTTCTTTTCAAACACATTCATGCCAGGGTCAGACACAATAAAGAAATTGTGTGCATGTCATTACTGATGTGTAAGGTGGCCTAGAGTCAGTTAGGCTTAAAAGCAAATCTCCACTTTGAGTAACTTATTCTTCCTTTCTGGGAATCACTTTCCAGATCAATGAGAAATAACGCTGATCTTAAAATGAAATATTGAATCCATATAAAAGCACCTAGCCTAGTGCCTGGAATACAGTAACTGCTTAATTAATATGATTGTCTTTATTATCATTTTTTGAAAGAAAAGCAACTAAGAACTAAAGGCAAATAATCTCTCCTCACAGAATTTCTAATAGCAAGTGATGCTAGTCATAGCAATTTATGAAGTCTGTACAAATAGATTTGGATGAAAACTGAAGGACTACTTTTCCTCCTCTTTATTATCAGTAACTACTATTCACGGAGGTCAGGCCTGGGCTACTTGCTTAACTCATATTATTTCATATAATTCTATCAATAATGCCATAAAGAAAATATGATAATCGCCATTTTACAGACGCTGAAACGAAGGCTCAGAGAGATTATCACTGTCCAAGAATTTGGAGCTAATGGTCCAACCCTACTTAAGCAAAAGCTTGGCTCAGAGTGAGGTTTCTGTATTTAGGTTTTTGCCTAATATAGCCAATGTCTAAATCATACTTATATCCAAATATGGTCGCATAATAATGCATGGTTTAAAAAAATTTTTTAATCTATACTGTCTCAATCTGGCTGCTCCATTTATGACAGGTTTACTGGCGTTCCTGTTGCAGGTCATAATACCAATCCACAAAGCAACAGGAAATCCAAATGGGTTAGAAATAAACAACCTCTGGCAGAAAATGCAGCACCCTAAAGCAGACCCAGTACACATGAACCGGAAGACAATTCTATAAATAAACCGCATTGCTGAAATGCTTAAGGGATAGATTTTAATTGCACAGAAGTCAGGAAATTTTAAAGTGGAAGTTCAGTAAAGGCAGTCAGTCCTTTGGATCTTTTACTTTAAGGACTTACACATTAACATTCAGCTCAGCACAGATAAAGAATTAAAACTGAGAAAAGAAACTTGCTATGAGAGCTCAGGTATCATCCAACAAAAGTAACCCATACCCCGAAACAATGTGGCAAAAGTACAGGAGTGTTGGACATAGTCTAAAACTGGAAGCTCAGTTCCCCTACTTACTAGGTATGTGACTTTGATTACATCATTTAGCCTGTCTGAGGTACACTTTCCACCACTTCATTACGATGGTGATATTAATGAGCTTTTAAAAAAATGATTTAGCCAGGGATTTAGCTCAACGGCGCCATGCCTGCCTCAAACGCACAAGGTCCTGAGTTCAATCCCTGGTACCAGAAAAAAAAAATGATTGTAACACTGACAATAGCTTACACTGATAACAGTGATACCAATGTGACACAACTATTCTAAGTGCTTTACATTTGAGTCTCACAAACCCTATAAATACCGATTATCCCCGTTTTACAGATCAGAAAACAAAAGCGCAAATATTGCTCAAGACTTCAACTCAGGCAATATAGCTTGAATCTGTGCTATTAATTAACCACTATACTATATTCTAGGTACATAAAACAGTACAATGTCTTACATGCAATAGATGCACAATAGTAAATGTTTATTATCCCAACTGTTAAAATATTTTTAAACTGGGCCGGGGATTTAGCTCAGTGGTTCTGCTGCCTGCCTCGCAAGCACAAGGACCCAAGTTCAATCCCCAGTACCAAAAAAATAAATATTTTTAAACTATCTGAAACACACATTCTTTTATCAAAGTTGAGGTCTCAAAACTTGAACTTTCCTGCTCTTCACAGAAGGTGCATTTTAACTTTAGAAAGAACTAGATGATGAACCTACATCCTGGCTTCATCCACTGGCCCAGCAACCCCTTTCAATCCAATATAACTCACAATATGCACATTTTCATAAATGAGTATATATACACATAGGACCTTGGAAATAAAATACTTTCACATGTTACTGTATTTGATTACCATTCATATTTTACAAAACAAATTGATCCTTCATTTCTTCAAGAGCTCCTCCTGCTCCAAGGTCTTCAAACATGCCACTGAATCTTCTTGGAATGATCTTCTCGACTCTTTACCTCCCAGTTTTTGAGATTCAAGTCTAACTACCATTTCTTCAGAGCATGCCTTCCTGTCCACCTCCTCCAACCCAATGCAGTCATGTGTCCTGCAGCCCAGTTTAACACTGTGGACTTCATCATAGCACTTAATTTTTAACAGTACAAGTAATATATGTGTAATTATTTATCTAAATCCTGCTTAAGACTAAAAGTACTACAAGGACTAATTTATAGTAGTCCTCACTGTTGTAATCATGCATGTCTACTTGGCACAGTGCCTGAACACAGGAGACACTGGATAAATGCAATGAATACACTAATGAACAGTCCAGAGGAATCAAGTCCTTGGCCAGGGTCAAAATGGTGGCACCAATGTTGAAATCTACACCTCTGATGATAGCTCCTAGGCTCTACTTCTCAACACTGCCTCCCTTACCCCTTGTGCCAGATTGCTGCATGTTCTTCAGTCCCATGTAAAGAAAGATATCCATAATATTTGAGTCTACAATGAATCATTGTATCTTTGGCACAGCCAAGGAATGGATGAAAAATGTTAACAAGTGGAGAGAGAGCACTTTGCCTAAAGCTAGATTTTGATTCTAATATTCCTACCTCATCCCAATCGGCCATCCACTTCCTTTGGATTCATTACCACCCATATTCAAAAAGCATCTGTGGCAACTCTACTGATGACTTGCCCCTGGCTTATAGCATGCACCAAATCATTTCTTCTGTCTAGGTTTTGTTTTCTCAACTATAAAGGGGTCAGACTATAAAGCTCTCCAAGATTCTGGAAAATGCAATAGAGTGTGGTAAAAGAGCACTAACCCTAGAGAAGAGTCCTGTTTCCAGCACTTCCTTAGACTAGTCAAACTCTTTAGACCTCAATCTCACCTGCAAAATTTGCCGGGTCTTGTAAATGGTGAAAGGTTAGTGAAATGGCAACTGTTCTCCAACTGGACAACACTGAACAGTGGTTAAAAGTTTAGGCTTTAGAGTCAGACCTAGGTTTTGAATTTAAACTCCATCACTTATTTAATGGCCGCGTGACCTTGGTAAAACTATTTCCGAGCTTCCGTTTCTTCATTATGGGAAATAATACCTACTCTCTCAGGATCGCTCTGAAAATGAAACGTTCCTGGCAGATGGTGTGTTACTACACATCAGCTACTATTTACAAAGTCCCTTGGCATTCCCTAAATTCCTAGCTAGTAAGACGGGCTCCGCTCCCACCCCGTGAGATGCCACAAGGCCACAAGCCCCGCCCCCAGCCTTAAGGTCAGGCCGGACTCTGAGTCAGTAGAAGGAGTCCGGTCCCTGAGGACCCCCTAGAGGTCTTTGAATGAGTCTCTTGCACACGAACCACGCGCGAGCCTCCGGACACCTCGAGGCCACTCACCAGCTACCGTCCAGGTTACTAAAGGGAGACTCGTGCGACCCCAGTGACGGCGGCGGCGCGGGCGTCATGACGTCACGAGGCGGCGCGGCGGCGCAGGCGTAGCGCGTCACGGGCGGCCTGGCAGCTGGCGGAGTCGAAGCAGAAGCTCCTAGTCCGGCCGTCGGATCCACGAGTCGGAACCCGCTTTTGGGGCATGAGCAGAGGGCAGCACGCCGAGGCCACAAGGTGAGTCCGCCGCGACGTGTCCCCGTCGCTAGCGCCAACCCCGCGAGGAAGGCTTACAGATGCTGCGTTCGCGGAGAGCTTTCAGGCCCCGCCCCGGATTGTCCTGGCTCTGGCCCGGAAATAACCCGAGTAATGACCCCTTACCTCTAGGGATTTGCTGCCAGGATTTGGGAAGCCGGGGTTCCAGGCTTGACCCCACCATTCGCTTTTGGGAACAAATGAATGCCTTTGCTTCTCTGGACTTCAGTGAGCCTTCCTGGCTTCCAGGGTTGTTGCAGTTTAGCAGGGAGGATGTAAAAGCATTTTGTAAACTGTTAATGTAAGGATTGTCTCCATTGCAAACCCAAAGGACTTTGATAGTCACATGCCATCTTGATCTTTTGTTACACTGTACCGTTCCTCAAAAAGCTTTTGAGTCTGTGCTTTTAAGACTCAAAACGAATTCATGAGACAAGGATAATTCTACCCATTCTAGGAAGAAAGACGAACCCGAGGTTCCCAGTGAAATGGCCTGCTTCATTCATTCACTCACAGTAAATATTGAGCACCAGCTCAGAACCAAGCAGTACAGCGTAATGTTGGTGATATAGAACCATGATCAAGATTGATGGGGCTGGGGATTTAGCTCCGTGGTGCTGAGCCTGCCTCGAAAACGCAAGGTCCTGAGTTCGATCCCCGGTACCAAAAAACAAAAAAAAAGATTGACAAGGCCCTACCCTCTTGGAGCTCACACTCTAGTGAGAGAAACAAAAAATAAAACATTAAATAACTCATTTAATTATATAGGAAGAAAAAAATGGCTGTGATAGAAAATAAATAGGCTGGTAGGGAAACCCTGTTGGGAATACTTAAAGGAAATCTTGTGACTTACTAATGTCTCACAGTAACTAAGTGCAAATGTTAAGATTTGAATGCAGGTTTCTTTGGCCCCTATTCTACATCTGGCACCTTTGGGGAATATAAAATTTCCTTTTGGTACTACTGGTCTTTTTAGACATGAGAAAATAAGAAGTTCTTATCATTTAAATCTCAACTTAAATGTCATCTCCGTTCCCTCTCCAATCTAAAGTATAAAGTAGTCCAACTCCATGTCGCATCTCTGCTTCATTGTGTTTGCAACATTTTTCACTAATTACGTCTTGTCTGTTGCTTTTGCTTTTGTTTTGTCCTGCTCACCTTCCAAATGTGAGCATTCTTGTTTGTTTACTGCTGTGACCTCAGTAATTAGAAGATGCCAAGAAAGTTGAAAATCGATCCTTTTTTTTTTTTCTTGAGGGCGTGAACTGTAGAGAAAAAGGGAGTTAGCAAGTTGTAGTTGCTTGACACACATTGCTGAACAGATTAAAGGTATGAGTGGGGAAGGAAGAAAAATACCGTTATGTCCAAGGAACAGATAAATGTGTAAATGTATTCCAACAGTTAACCCAGAGATTGCTGTGTGCTAGACTGTAGGATGTGCCAAGATGAATAGGCAGTGTTAATACATGTCAGCTTTTGTTGAGACACAGTTCCTGCTGAGCCCTAAGACACTTCTGGATATGTAGGGCACATGTGTTTCTCCAGCAGAGTGTTCTGAAGTCTGCCACAGCCTGCCATCTTTCAACCCCATTATCTTTTCTTTCTCTATCACACTGTACATTTATTAAAGTTTTATTTTTCATCCTTCATCCAATTTTTGGTATCTCAGCAAACAACTTAGAAATAGAACAAAGTTTAAAAATGAGGAAGCTGATGCTCAGAGAAAAATGACTTCCAGTAGATGTCCTATAGTTGGAAACTAGGTCTAACACCAAGCTTTCTGCTTTTTTTTTTTAATTCGCTAAGTTGCCCAGAGTCGGCTCATATTTGTAATCCTCCTTCCTTAGCTTCGTAGAGTGCTGGGATTTTAGGAATGTGCACGAGGTCCAGCTTTTCTGCTTTTTCCATTACTATCTCCGTTAAAACCCTCATTTTCCTTAGCTTTGAGGTGAGCAATTTCAGGAACTGAGACTAGTAGTAATTTACCAGTCTTCAATGCTTCTAGGTGCCACGTGCTTTCTAAATGTTTTAGAAGTGTTAACTCAGTGAATCTGCAGAACTCTATGAGTTTTTAGCTCCATTGTACAGATGAAGAAACCAAGAAAATGTTTACTTGCCCAAAGTTATACAACTGGCAAATGGCCAAACTGGAATAATTTAGGAAGAAATTAGTCTTTTCTTCCCAGCCTCTCCTAAGATAGCTAGTACACATTGATTACTTACTATGGTTAGATACAGTAGGTGTTGATTTTTTTGTGTGTACTATCTTTAATTTTTACAATCACCCTATAAAATAGAACTATTATCTTCATTTTTATATTTGAGGAAATTGAGGCCTAGGAAGTTCAGATAATTCACCAAGTCACACAATCTGCTTTCAAACCCAGCTCTAACTATGAAACTTGTTCATAGATTTCCCAGTGGTAGGTTTGTGTGTATTCTTTTGTTTGTTTTTGTTGTTTTGTGTTTTGTTTTGTTTTTATGGTGCTGAATATTGAACGTGCTAGGCCAGCACTCTACCATTGGGCTACATTCTCAGCCCAGTGGATAGACTTCCTGTGTTGTCTTCTCTTTGTTGTATTCCCTGTTCTATAAGGACAGGTGATACAATGCTGCTCTTCCCTACCTATCCCCTTCAGTGTCATTAAGACTCCTTCTGAAAAGGAAAACATGGAAACAAAGTCTTTGTACATAGGGAAGGGTGGAGGGGTTGAGGGGAGGGCAGGGAAACTGGAAAAAAAATAAGAACCAAGATACATCATGTAAAGGTACAAGATCTCAATGATGAATGTAACTGTATCGTATACCCAAAATGTACCAATAAACTTAAAAAAAAATTCTCCTCCTGGTGGTTTCCAGGGATTATTTTGGGTGACAGTTATTGAAGTGAGTACCATGTAGTAATAGAGACTTTGGCCTCTTTCCCAGTCAGCCTCTGGCTTTAGAGGGGGAAAGCTTGAGTTTCTCCACATAGCCACTCCTCTTTCACCATAAATGGCAGCTTCTGTGCTCTGGCTGCCAGAGGAGCTGTCCTAAGGGAACTGGTTCTGGGGCCCTGGACTGGCTGGAGGACATACCCACCTTGAATGTTTCTTGGGTTGAATTTGAAGCATCATGTTCACATAGGGTTGCTCTTACCCTGTCTGAATGTTACATTGCTTTTAGTTTTTTATAGAGATTGATGGAAGCAGAAACTAAAACTCTTCCCCTGGAAAATGCATCCATCCTTTCAGAGGGCTCTCTACAGGAAGGACACCGATTATGGATTGGCAACCTGGACCCCAAAATCACAGAGTAAGTCCAAGTCACCTTAATTCATTACCCACAAATTTGGAGTGTTTGCAGTTGTGATGTTCAAAATAATGTTCAAGGAATATAGAATATATTTTGGTCTTTTAATTTATGTTTTATCTTTGGAGGGATAGATAATGTTATTAGCTTGTTATCTTGTCCCTTTTCTTACATCTGTACTCTGCTACTGTAAGGACACAATGTTTGGTATCCTTTGAAACCCATGACTTTTTTTATTCCCAACTATTTGAATCCTTGTCTGCAATGGCTACTGGGAATTATTTTCTAGAATCAGCCATGGGTGTTTATATTTTCTCCCACAATGAAGGAACAAGCAGAAGTCTTAGTATCTTTGCAAGCAGGCAAAGGGGTACCTCTTGACTAATTCCTGTAAGCAGCCACAGAACCATGGAAGGTGAGAATGGGAGGGGATCTTAGATCTCATGCCAGTCCCTTTGGTTTTCATTCATTAAAGATTGGAGTACCTAGTGTGTGCTAAGTGCCATGCTAAACAGTTTTCAGACGTTTTAAATCTGAGGAGCCCTGTCATAAAGTAAGAGTCATCAGAAGCAGTATATAAGATAAAAGCTCAGAGCTGCTGTGATCACAGGAAGAGATGTGCCCAACGCCTTTTGCCAGCTGCCACCCTGAATTGTCCTGACTCATGGTTTTCTTCACAGCCATCATAGTGGGAAGGAATTTCTTAGCAGAGAATTGCGAGGTTTTTCTTCTGTAGTTGTTTGGTAGGGGATAGGTGGTGCTTGGTGGCAAGAGTAGTGAAGGGTGAGTGGATTAACCTGCATGAAATCAACGCTTAAAGCAAGCATAGACTATGCCATCAGTCTGAGAAATTGCTTCCTTGGAATAGTGTTAAAGATGAGAGGAGAACCTGCTTACTTGAGTCTGAGATGAGACGAGGTATATTTAAGGATTAGGAT